TCGATACCAAAGTTTAAATATGGAAGATAGTTTGTAGGAAGAAATACTTAATGAACCGGTATCGTGAATTGCTGCAAATGAACAGACTTAAACGAAATAAGGCAATTGGATGAGGCTGCGCAAAGAGCCTTGCTGAAGAGCGCACTTTGAAAAATATACGCACTTAAGCAACAATATTTCAGAAAAATGTGGTTTGATAACTATACTAAGTGGAGATGGAACAATGGCGAGGCTAAGACTGTGTGTACGATTTTCCGTTCAGAACAATTCTTATAACAATGAATAATTTCGCTCGAGCAATGGCCATTGAGTGAAATATCCTTTAAAAAGGCATGAAGCACTCTATCACATCAATCTAACACTATGCACAATAAAAATGCAACAAGGGGCTCGCTCAGGCATTTTTGGTCGAAGCGCTTCGTTGTTCCAAACCATCAGCACCACACTGGACTTCTGAAACTAATTTATGGTATCGAAATCCTGCAATATACGATGTAGCCAAACTGATTTTGATAAGCCAGGAATCAACTGCTACAGGTAAAACATGATAGTGCAGTTAGAATGCAAAATTTGTAGTGCAGAAGGGTAGAAGCGTTGTTTGCATTTTGCACTTTTTGGATTTGGGCTACATCACTTGCACTTTTATTAGGTCGGCTACGGGCGAATCCATAAAACATTAAATTCCTATATGAAACCAAGCAACTTGGTAGGGGTTGACATTATTAAATTGATTAATTACACCGAACAAACCTTTTAATGTCTTCCTCTTTGTACCCCAATCGGTACCTTCACTATCTGGTGAGATGTCCTCACTGCTGTTGGAAAGCCACTTTCCGGATGAATCCACGGAATTATATGGACAAATCTGAAAATAAGTTTCACATATTTCACTTTCTTCATTATATTACCTATATGCTAGTTAGGTATCGCTTTCAACGATTGATATTAGAAACAGGACTGGACGGCGGGATGAGAGATGGGTGAGGTGAACAACAGAGGAGAAGGTTGTGCAATTTTAAGGGAATTGACATCGAATACTGCAGAGTGCGTTTAAGTGATCTCAAAGAAGTTTTTTTGAACCCACTGTATAATACAAGGTTGCGTCGTAGATCTGATAAGAACAGATTGTCTGGATTCTTGAAGAAATTTTCTAATAGAG